CTTGATATTATATTAAACTTTCATAATTTAACAATAGGAACCATTACATAAAACTTCAACGTAATAAATAACCATAATAAAAATCGAATAAAAGTTAACAACACTTAGTAAGAATTCTAAAACAATAACCCCAACGAAAAACCTTGACACAACAAATAAATGATTAATCATCATCAATAATAAAATAGAAGAAACCCTAACATGTGTCTACTCTTTACATAATTAAAGAAAAACCCTAATGAAATTCATTATCAAAACCATGAAGAGCATTAATAAAATTATTTATCATAAAATATTTTCATGAAAATCATCATCAACGATATTGGAAACACAGAAAAGAGAATACCTTAAAGTTTCTCAAAAAAAAAAAAGAAAGATCGATATGGAGAGGCTTGGTTTGATGAAAAACTAAGAGCATAAATGTTTTTCTTAAGTGCTAGAGAGAAAAAAATTCAAGAGACAGAAAGGGATGAGAGAAAATAAAATATGTGACCATACTTCTTAAGAGGTTTGAGAGACTTATATATTAGATACGTTTTAGAATGGGTAACTAACCCTAAAACCTCTTAAAATTTGTGTTTAAAGGTGCTGAAAATATGTGGGGCAGGTTCATAATTATGAGAAAAATATGAAAAATTCGCGTAACAATTTGTATTGTGAACATGTTATGGTATTTTGACTAAAACTTTCTACGTCAATATCAGAATTGAGCGATTCAAGTGTCGTTGGAAGGAGAACAAAATAATCTACAACTTCGTGTGAAATAAGATTTTCTTAATTCAGTCGTTTTAAAGTTGAAAAATTGAATTGAAAGTAGCGTAGCCCAAGGAAGGTTAGAAGCAGAAAGGAAAAGGGCACGACGATGTTCATCAGTCATTCTCGGAAGAGCACTCAGAGAAAGTAACTTCTGACTATCGAGATGCTTAGAGTAAGAGATTTCCTTCAGAATATCACGATGTTCTTGGCTTATATTGCCGAGATGATGTAAGACTTTGCTGTAAATACAAATTTGACAAAAGACTTGGGAGGAGAATATTTAGGTCGGAATGCCAAAAATCTTTAACACGGATGATGAGTTTCTCCCACCTTTAAGGTTATGGGTATACAAATTTGACAAAAGACGCCATTGAAAGTCAGGAAAATAGGGAATAATAAATTGAGTCATGTTCACAAAGAGGAAAAAACACAAAAGATGTCATCCAGTGAAAAGTTGGTTCCTTCAAAGTCGTTGACAATACAAAAACATGAAATTGGTTGCAAAAGGTAAAGTTAAACGACAATGTTTGGTTAAAATGATGACGTCGTTTGTGGTACGACGAAAAGCAACCATACAAGAATCTAATTAGAAACAGTAAGGTCTCGTTTATTTTACTAATTCGAGCTTTCAGCTTTAGGTTTTAATAGTTAAAAGCTCTCAGAAAATATTAAATCTATATTTTTCTGTTACAGTTAAAAATTTTAAAAAAATATCACATCTCAACTCGAATTGAAAATTTAAATCCGCGAAGTAAACGAGGCCTAAGTGTAGAATCAATAGATCTAGCCAAATAAGAAGAATCAAAGTGACGTGGACCAAGAAATAATCAAGATGTAAAATCAGAATTTGGGGGGATCTTTTAGTGAAACTCTGTCAAACTTGAGAAAAGAGAGAGTGGCTTTTTGCGAGAGAAACAAAACCAGATATTGAATTAGTTAATTTGAAGTTGGATGAAAAATTGTCTCCAACAATGTGGCAACTCCTTTTATGTTGCCTAAAACTTGTAGCTTATGACTTCAGTACGTGAACCATTGTCCTTTAAAAAATAAAACATACATTTTTTTTGCGAAAAAAAGAATAAAAAATATTAAAAATATAACTAGGATTAAGGGTGAAATATGTACTAAAAATAATAATATTATACTCATAAAAAAATCCTAAAAGATAGAAGGTCAAAAAATTGATCATACCCGTCGTGATGGAGAAAACAACCTTTGTCTAGACACTACTAGCTAACAACTCAACATCCAAAAATACAATCATTCATAAGATATATACCCAATGGAGGCCTCATGGAGATTCTTTTGTGACATTGTCCCGCTAACCACAATTCAAACTTGTTGCCGCAACGTTTTTTTTTTTCAAAACTTTATATTCAACTTTTGTTATAGTTTTTTCATACAAATTCACTTTTCAACTAAAGTTCGAAAGAATGGGTAATTACGAGGCCCTACTGAGACCTCGTTGCAGCTACCAAAATATGCAAAAAAAAAATATAACATCACTTAATGAAAAATAGATATAGAATGGTGCAAGGGAATTCACTGCTGTCTTCATCGAAATTTTCCCTCAGAAAGGAAAGGTAAAAAAATAAAAAAATTACAATTTGCATTTTTTTTTTCCAAAGCGGTTACCATTAATTTTATTGGCGGAGTTAGCCTAGACTTCAGTAGCGTTATACACTACTTTTTGTTTTCGAAAATATAAAAAATAAAAAAAAGTTGAGTGAAGTACAATAAGCCGTACATGTAAAACCGAATTTCAATAGAACATTGTTTTAGAGGATAGCTACGTTTAATCTTGTCTACCCACACTTCTGCTTTAAGAAAATAATAATAATAATAAAAAAAATTGGTATCATGGAATTCTGCAAATAAATATTCTTTTTGCATTTTTTCTAGAAGTAATTCCTCCAACTAATCCATAAATTTTTATTTGTTTTACTGTCATTTTATTGGGTACGTACGAATAAGATGGTGAAAGTAACATGCGCTGGATCCCATTATGATGCTGCGGGACAGAAATCTTACAAATGATAAACTAACCATCAAGTTGTTGGCAATTGTCATATGTAAACAACGAAATACACCAACTTAACTTTGAAAATTCACCGTTCTGAAATTAAGATATTAGATATGTACCTAAAACAAAAGAATATTTTGGGAGCAAGCTGGTTTCTTGGAAGATTGATCTTTCCGCCTAACTACGTGCTTTTTTTTTCTTTTCTATTTTTTTTTTAAAAGTAATCAATGGAGCCAGAGAATTAAAAAGGCCTGGAATTATGCTATAATCAAGCCGCCTGTAAATAACGATAGAATCTATTCGTTCCCCAACTTTTTTCTTTCTAAAATTATTTTTATAATCAATTTTCTCTTATGAATTGTTCTTAAAATTCAAAAAGTGTCTTATAGATGGTTATTCTGTAAAATTTAAAATGAAAACCATTAATTTTGTCTCACAGAAAGTCTTTTAACTAGTTTTTCTTCGTACAAATAATCCCTAAAGTTGTACCAAGTTTAATCTCTAAACGGAAAAAGATATGCTAAAATTAAATTTGTTAAATAAATAGATTTAAAAATTAAATATGAGAAGTTGAACCAAATGTAATTTTTAAACTGAAAAAAGAGCGATTTTAACACCCATTAACTTTCCAAATAATATATACAATCGTGGATTGTGGTTTGCACTTAATTTTTTTCTGTTTATTTTAGGAACCTTTTCTTTTTTAAATTTGGTGTTGAGACATTCTAACGAATGAGTAAGATATATACAAGTGTTGTCTTCTTGGTTGAATTCTAAACTTTCAATGTTTTGTTTTGCTAGAAATTAAAATTTTTTTAATTTTATTTTATAATATATTTTTAATATTATTAATATGGTCGGCCAAATGTAATCACTCAAAAAAATAAATAAAAATTACATATGTAATAAATAGATAAAAAAATAAAATAAAATATATGTAGCAAAAAAATCACTTTTGATATTTTTTTTAGTTCAGGAACTATATTTTGGTACAACTTTTTCTATTTATTTAACAAATAAATTAATTTCAATATATCTGTTTTTTAGTTTTGTGATTAAATTTTTTAAAACTTTTAACATAGGAGTATTTCTGAAGATCAACCAAAATAATTTAGTGATCTTTTATTAGACAAAATTGACCATTTATATCTAAAATTTACACGGACACCATTTATAAGATACTTTTTAAGTTGAGAGACTAATCGTACGAGACAAAATTAATTATAGAAACAAATTCTAAATAGGGAAAAAAATTCAGAAACTATTCATGATTTATTCCCATGTGAATTCTTCAAATGTGCTTTATCATGACCTGACAAATTAATAAGTTCAAAGTCGAGTAATAATTGAAAGTCTCTAAACAATAGCTTAATTGTCACTAGAATTCCAAATAGTCCACAATGAAGTAAGTGAGCCCTTGGAAAACAAAAAACAAAAAAACAAAAAGCTTAATTGTCATTCGAAATAGTCCACAATCGAGTATTCCAAATGGCTTGTTGTCACTAGTATTCCAAATAGTCCACAATCAAGTACCCGAATACAGTCTTGGTTTTTACATATATAAATAATTCGACCAATTACATATGCATGCAGTAAACTATTGGTCCATCAATAAGAAAATAATGTACATAGACCAGATCTTGTATCAAATTATTTAGTAAAAAATGAGGAAGAAAAAGTGAAACAATAACGTGAAGAATCTTTCAACATGTGACAGTCAAAGTTTGAAAGGGAAAAACTTTAGATTAATACATAGCCTTGTATCTGTATTCTTTTCTTGATTGTTTCACTTCTTTAGCTATATGTCAATCACGTGTTTATATACACGTCGGAATCAACGTTTATTATATTTTTTTAACTTTTTTTATTATCAAAGTAAATCAACTAAAGGGGTATTGAAATTTTTAAGATCCTCCTAATAAAATCAAATTATAAAAACGCATATTGTCAAGCCCAGCCGACTAAAATTCTAAAAACATTTCAAGTAAGTCAAATATTAATGGGACCCAAACTCAACTAAACACTTTATCTCATGCATAAGCAAACAAATCCGTCTAATTTGACTAGTTATATACAGACGTACGTACAAACAAATTAGGTGACTGATTTAAATACCTTAATTCTACTGCATGTAAATCCCTCATCAGAACACTATAAAAAGACCATATCCCAAGCATTAGACTTCACCACTCCAAAAGGAACAAGTTAGTTCTCATAAGCAATGTCTTCCTCTCATTTGTTCATCATACTCCTAGGAGTGGTATTTCTCACCACTCAAACCCTTGCCGATTACTATAAGCCACCAGAGCATGAGCATAAGCCGGAGGCTCCTCAATACAAGCCACCCCCGGTTGTAAAGCCGCCGCCAACCCCGGTTTATCCGAAACCTCCACATCATGGAGCGAAGCCTAAGGCACCACTAACCCCGGTTTATCCTAACCCTCCACATCATGGAGAGAAGCCTAAGCCTCCGGTTTACCAGAAACCTCCACATGTAGAGAAGCCTAAACCGCCACCAACCCCGGTTTACCAGAAACCTCCACATGTAGAGAAGCCTAAGCCGCCACCAACCCCGGTGTATCCGAAACCTCCACAACATGAAGAGAAGCCTAAGCCACAACCAACCCCGGTGTCTCCGAAACCTCCACAACATGAAGAGAAGCCTAAGCCACAACCAACCCCGGTGTATCCGAAACCTCCACACCATGAAGAGAAGCCTAAGCCACCACCAACCCCAGTTTACCCGAAACCTCCACAAGTAGAGAAACCAAAGGCGCCCCCAACACCGGTTTACAAAAAGCCCCCATACGGAGAGAATCCCAAGCCTGAGCCCAAGCCCAAGCCCGAACCAAAACCGAAAGCTCCAACTCTACCACCTAAAGTGGTGAAGCCACCATATGTAAAACCACCGGTATCCCCATCGCCAGTGCACAAGCCGCCGCCTTACGGTCACTACCTGGGACAACCTCCTTACGAGAAGCCCCCAACTGGACCCTACCACAAGCCACCGAATCCCGGTCATCCGAACTGAAGAAATGAGATCATGATATAAATATGGATACGTCATTTTAGGTTTCCAGTACTTTCCAGAAATAAGAGTTGTTTACGACTCATGACATGCATTTTGGAACTTACGTACGAATATTGGGATTATTGCCTCTTGAGTTGTTACCTGATGAGCCTATCCATTTATTTTCTTGCATATCATATATAGTTAAAATCAGTTCCATGATCGTTTGTAATATTTTATAATATATCAATATCTCTATTGTCCCACTGTTTCTTCCTTTCATCTTTTAACAAGTAAAAACTTTATTAAAAAGAAAAGAAAGAAGTCTTATAAAATTAAAACATGTGAACCTTAGAGTAATAAAGAAAGATAAAACAAAATGCAAACAAAACAAAACAAAAACAAGAAGAAAACAACAAAGGAGCAACCGAGCTATGAGAAAAAAAAAAAAGAAAAAAAAAACTGATATTTCTCATTTTGAAACTCCAACCACCAAGAGGAGCTCTAAGCTTGTAGGAAGAACCCTGGCTCTTTTTTTTTTTTTTCTCCTATGTTAATCATCATCATCATCATCATCGACACTATAATCAAGATCATAAATAACAACTTGGCTGTTGGAGTAAAGACTCCCTATTCACCATTACAACTTATAAACAAAATTTAACTAATATACGAACCAGAAATTATATATATATATATATATATAATGCATAATCCTTGAGTAAATAGATTGGATTAATCTCACTCACTGCTACTTCCTGAACTCTGATGTCATTCTCATTTTATCCATTAAACTTTAAAAACTCTCACTTTACTTTTTGAATTTTGATTTGTCTCATGTAAGCCCTTTTATAAGAATTTCTATTAAAATTAGACCGAAAAATAGGAGTTAAGTGTGGATATGTGATTTTTATCTGTTTATTTTTAACAAAAATTCAAATAGAAAGAACACATGATTGCATCACTCTATTTTTTTTATTATCAATTTTTAATAGAAATTATAACAGAAGGGGTTAAGTGGGAACAATTAAAAATTGAAAGGGTAAAATGAGAGTTTTTAAAATTTAGAAGGTAAACTAAGAATGATCTTAGAGTCCATTTAGTTTACGGATTCAAACCTTGGTTCATGATTTTGACTTCAATGTTTTTGTGAGAAAAAAACACTATAGTAGAAATACTAAAAACAATGGTCTGAACCATGAAGAACCCTTCAAACAATAAGACCCTTAATCTTCAAGGGCACCCATGGTAATTATCCAAATGTACTTTATGAAATATGTACAACGTACTTCTAAAAATGCATCTACGATACGCTGTCTTTTTTTTTTTCAAACTTGGACTAGCCATTATGTTCGTTTTTTCTTTTGTTTTGTTTGTTTTGTTTTACCTTGAAATTATATGAAAAAGAGGAAAATAGCATATTTGGTAGGATATTAGTAAATTATAACATTTTTTTTTTTAAAATAAGTCGATCATAACATCATTTGATATTTTACTTTTTAAACATTATTAAAAAACCAAAAATACCTCTGAACTTTTTTTTCACCCCTCCCCTCCCTCTAAATCTCTATATTTTAAAACATAATAAATTATAGTTTTTTTTTTTAAAATAAGTAGATTATACAATATTTTTCTAAAATTGATAGACAATGATCGGCGCCGGCAACCGGCGGCTATCACAGGCAACTGTTAACCAGTGACTATCATCGGTGACAGCTTCAGTAGCCAATAAATACAGTATTTACTGGTCAATACTGTACTCACCAGTAAATACTATATTTGCACGAAAATTTGGTCGCCGGTGACTACGATATTTACCTGTAAATACTTATATTTTTACATTTACCGGTAAGTACCATATTTATCTGAAAATCTGACCGCCAACGCCGATGACCAATAAATGTTGAGAATGGTGTCCTAAATGCGTGTGATGTAAATGAAGGATATTATTATTTATATAATAAAAGAGAAATTTCATTATTTATGTGTATATATTACTGAATATTTTATGAAAATTATTGAAAATTTCAAAATTATTTATGTGACCTTAAATATTGTATATAAGAGTTATATACGAGAGGATAATATTTAAAGATAATAATTAAAACGTGTTAGTAATTAAAATTTTACAATCTTTAATTAAAACATTACTAATACATGTCATTCCTATTAAGAATTGAACGCTGTTATCCGCACTGTCAATATGGAGGGATATTGGATGATGTATTACACATAATGTCATTATGTGGAACTAGGACATAAACACGATTTGAATTTATGATAGTTTCCTTTAAGTATATAAATTCTAATTGGGTCTACTAATGGTCATATATGGAATGATCTTAATCCTGAGTTATTAGTAGACTCCTATTTATGGATTCGTGTTTTCTTGACTTACTCAGTACAGATTTTGAGATTCTAAATCTCATTCCTTGTATCTTGAAAATGAATAGCTTGGAATGCTATTATATGAGATGGAATCTATTCCATCTTCTATGAAAGCATATAGATAATTCCTTTGAGGATTGATTCGGTAATTGAATAAGTAACGAGCTCGTATTCGTGAATGTGTTTTATGAATCAATGGTACTCAAGAATAAAGATGTAATTAGAGACGTTAACGGATTTTACCTAGCTCTAATTATGAATTATTTATGGAGGAGTGATCTATATGTTGGGCATGATGTTCTAGAAGCATGATATGTAATAGGATATTTATTAATTATTTAATAAAAGAGTTTATTCATCATTTTATGTGCATATATTTATGAATATTTTACGAATATCAATAAAAATTTCATGATTATTTATGTGACCTTACATATTGTATATAAGTGTTATATGAGAGAGGATAATGTTTAAGGATAATAAACAAAAAAGATGTTCATAATGAATTTAATTAAAGTTTAAAATCTTTAATTAAAACATTACTAATACATGTCATTCC